TTGAGAAAGAGAGTATGGATATCGATTTTAAGTGCATTAAAAGCTTCAAACCTTGGTTGTACAAGGTTGTTGGGTTGTACAAGGTTGTTGGGAGTATTCATGGCAATGGCAATGTTGTAAATACTTGAAGATGATGAGGTTGAGAGAGTAAAAATGCCATTTTCGAAAAAAAATTCAAAAAACATTTAAATGGCATTTTTGTAAATAAAATGAAGATGTGGGGTGAATAGGACAAAAACAAGATGAGTCAAAAGAAGATGTTAGTTTTGTGTTTGACTTGGAGTTTTGAGTCAAATTTGCAAAAAGCCCTATGTTAATGCTCTATCAATCAAGCCTTTAGTAACAAAAATAATCAAGCAGAAACCATATATGCTGATTTCAAAAGTTTGATAATACTGTATATTATTTGTCATCAACAATATAAAAAAATCACAATCTTCTAAAAACGCACTAGTAGGTTGTTGTAATTAAATATCTCAAAAGAGTAATTACTTTGATGAACTGACTTGTCTATCTAAAAACCAAAATAATTATTCGTGAAAATAAAGCCAAAAATCTAAAAACTTCAAGCTTCAACCACTATTTACAACCATCAACTTTCATGTAAAAATAATTATTTTAGATGTTTAATAATATTTAAAAGTATTTTGGATATACATTATGAATTGAAATTATGTTTGGTACAAGTTTTTTTTTTTAGATTTTGAATGTTCCGAGTTCTATCGGATATCCATTTAGATTCGGGTTCGGTTTAGATAATACTCATAACCTTAAATATCATAAAATAAAATCTATTCAATATTTATGTCAAGTTCGGATCGGTTCAGATTCATTTTTATCGAAAACTTAGAAACATACATCTCTTTGCCAGCTAGTAGCTTATTGTAAATATTGGATAGCTATCAATATGTTTTATGAAAAGATATAGTACAAAACAATACTAATGATTAAAAAAGACTAATCTGGTAAATTGGTTTTAACAAAAAAACAGTAATAAATTAGTTAAAGGTAAAACAAACTAATAAAAACAAAGAAAAACACGTGGATCCACGTTTGCGTACACGTAAAAAAACTTCTGTTTTCCTAATTCTTCTTGCCGTTGTGAACAAATTATAGGTCCTAAAATAATCACTAATTTTATATGATCGGACGGCTATAACACCATTACAAGCTATCACCACCACAACCCTAACACGTGTACGTCTATAAACTATAAGCATCTCCACAGTTCTCGGGAGAAGTTAAGTTGTAATTCGTATTAATGAATATCTCGTGTACGTCCTGATATACGCTGACGTGTACGAGTCATTATTATTTAGTAATTTAAGTTAAAATCAAACAGAAAAACAAACTTCCTATATAAACCCTTTTATAGTCTTCGTTCATATTTCATTAAAAAATTAAATTAAATTAAATTAAAATTTCTCTCTAAAATTGTTCATCCATCAATGGCGATGAGGAAGCTCTTATCGAAGCGTATCTTCAACATCTCGAATCAATCCTCGCAGACTCTAACGAACTGCCGTACATCGTCCTCCTCGGTATCCGTACGAACCAGAATCGCTCCGGAGCCCGGAGACTCCTCCGGCCCCTCGCGGCGGTTCTTCCACAACACGGCCGCGATCCGGCCGGAGATCATGCAGATGCCGTTGGGAGAGGGGTTGATCGAGAAGCTCCGCGAGATGGACGGGAGCAAGGATCGGATCCGATTAGACGGGATTGGGATGACGGTGGAGGATACGAAGAAGGTTCTGAGAGCGGCGCAGGTGGAGATGGTGAAGACGAGGCTTAGAGAGACGGGGAGGAGCTGGATGACGTATTCGGAGTTTGTTGGCGTTTGTGGTGAAGCTTGTTCGGGTGTGGAGGATGGATGTAGAGTAGCGAAGATGCTTGATGATTCGGGAAACGTCATCGTTTTGGGAGGATCTGTTTGTATAAGACCAGATCAGGTAATTTTCCTCATCTCATTGAATTAATTTTTACATGTGAATTGAATGTGTTGAGTATGCATCATTGATTGGGAGAGAGAGAGAGAGGGATTAAACTTTGTGTCTGAAAAAAAAAAGGAATTAGGTTTCACGAAAAGTTTTGTTTTTTGGATTTGTGATACCGAAAACTGATACCTTTTTTCATGGGTTTTTGTGTATCTCTTTTCTTTTTGCTTCCAATTCAACAGGAGGAATCAAAAACCTCTGTTTACCAGAGTGTCGTAGGAGGTTACCCCAAGTATGGTGATTGAAGAAGAACACTTTCTACAGAGACCATATCGTTTCTTTCCCTAAACAAACCCCATTGAGTTCAGACCTTGAAGAGTTTGATACAAAACCCAAAATAGAATCTTTAAAAGAGAGGGAGGGGGAGTTGAGAAGCTTTAGTATAGTTTGCTAACAGTTTTTTGGGGTGTTAGGATAATGAAAGTTGAAATATTATGGGTTAGGTTTATGTGTTCTCTAGGCGGTAGTGTTCAAGATCTAAAAAAAGAAACTGGGTATTGGGATGGATTAACAACTGACCATAAGTTTGTTGTGTGTTTTTTGAGTGCTAACCGTGTCCCAAAGGTGGTGGTGGAGGTCTTCTTTTAACCATATGTTTTCGGTTTTTGTCTTTTTTTTCGTTGTGTCTGATCAGGTCATAAAATCCATTGAGGGATGTGCTTGTTTTGTGTTTATTGTGTCTGTTTTGAGTGCTAATTGTGTCCTAAAGAAGGTGGTGGAGGTTTTGTTTTACCCAGACGTTTTCTGTTTTTTTTCGTTCTTGTGTCTGATCAGGTTACAAAGTCCATTGAAGGATTGCTTCCTTTACCAAAGATTCATAACCCAAACGACCCACGAAGAATAGAGTTGAAAGAGCTTGAGGCAGTAAAGGCAGTGATCGATGTGAAAGCGCACTCTTTGGTGCGGAGAGAGCTCTGGGCTGGTCTTGGTTACTTGATACTACAGACCGCAGGGTTCATGAGGCTAACGTTTTGGGAACTCTCTTGGGATGTGATGGAGCCAATCTGTTTTTATGTCACCTCCATGTACTTTATGGCTGGGTACGGTTTCTTCCTCAGGACATCGAAAGAGCCTTCTTTTGAAGGGTTTTACCAAAGCAGGTTCGAGGCTAAACAGAAAAAACTGATGAGCCTTGATGAGTTTGATGTTGAGAGGTATGAAGAACTGAAGAAGCTGTTTTGCCCTAAGCCTTCAGATCGTGTTTCCAAAATTCTTGGAACTATCGCGAGTTAAATTTTGATTTAGAAAGAAAATGGTTTAGATTCAATGTTGTCACAATTGGTGTCTGATTTTTCCTAACTAGAGGAATCCTACCAAAAGAAAAAGAAAGAAAAGAAAATTTAAGGTAGATGAAGTTCTCAAGTTTTCAGTTTTCCAAAAAAAAAAAAATGTTTGCGGCTTTTGTAACATCACGGGAGAGTCATGTTTCAGTGTTTTCATTATGATCAATCTTAAAGTTTAAACATCTTGTAAATAGTTGTTCTAAGTGTAATCTATTCTATTAATACTCAAAGAATGTGTTTATGTTTCCCCCTAAACTAATACTCCCTTTGTTTCATAATATTTGTCATTCTAGATTTATTTTTTTATCATAAATTAAATGCCGTTTTGGAGTTTCAAGACAAAATTTATTAGTTTTATATAATATTCTATTTTTCTATTGGTTGAAAAGTGGTTAGGTGTATAGGTAATTGTGTTTTTATCTTGAAAATATGTAAAATTAAATGTTTTCTTAATATGTGTGCAAAAATGTAGAATGACAACTAAAGTGAAACGGAGGTAGTATTAAACTTAATCAGTTAATCCTAACGCTGCTCGTTACCAAATATCTGATGAGCTATAAACGATTTTTTTAAAATTTACAACCGCATTATGTCTTTATGTTTTTGATGTATCTAATTAACCTGTAAGAAAATTAAAATATAATAAAAATGGAAAGATACATCAATATCTTTCTACAGTTTATAACCTAATGTTATAGAAAACAAAACTTAACTGATAATTTTATGGCTGTAAATAAAATTTAAATCCAAAGCCACTTGTTACATTCTAATCAATCACTAATCATGCATATTTGGTTTTTGGATTGGTTCATTTCGGGTTTTAATTTTCAATTATAGATATATAAGAACCATTCAGTTATTTATAAATTTTACTTTGATTTTGATTCAAATCAGTTATTTCGGTTTTCGGTTTGGTTCTGATAATAATGTTACGAACGAATTAAATATCTGATAAAATATTTGGTTTAATACAGTTTTATTTCAAATAAAATATCAGATAGTTTTCAATAAAGTTAAAATATTCACGATAAAAAAGTAATTTAGTTATTTTGAATAATTTGGATAGTTTTGTATATTACTTTCATAATCCAGTTTTAAGATTATTTGGTTTATAAGTAGTAATTTTAGAATAATTTGATAATTTAAAATTAAATATAAATAATTTACAAGATATAGAAACTATCTTTTAAATACTCGGTTCTTGGTTTGGTTACGTATTCCAAAAATATAAAAACTGTATTGTAAACATAAGTTCGACTGATACACAAAGCTCCAGCTCAATTCTTGGATTTTAACCGTAAGTTACACAACCCAGAGAGACTTATTCCTTATACTCAATTAAGACTCTACAAATCAAATTGATAACTTTGTGCCCAATTGAATATATATAGTTAACAGTTTGGTTCCCAGAATTTGTTTATTATCTTTGCTAGATAACAATGTTGTTCCAGTGAAAATTCGTTGTAAATTATTTGTGATGAAACCGTTGTAAAAATATTCAAATATAAGATGCAAAATAGTGTTATTTTTTACTTCTTTACAAAAATCAACATTTCTAATCTTCTTCCAGATGCAAAGCAGTGTTGTTATATTTTAGATAATCTATAAAAAACAGGAGGTTTCTAGATAACCAATCACGATCGTAGTTTATTTTGAATCTCAATTAATTAATGAAATTTTCATTGCCATCAAAGCCACAATCTTGTTTCTAAAAATCATGTTTTTTTTCTTTTGTTTTGATTTTATTTTGCTTTTGTCTTGCTTTATTTATCAAAAAAATGTTTTGATCAAAGTTACGTTGTTTGGATATTTCAAGATAACATACCGGACTCAACACTTGGTTACCTTGAAAGCAAAATAAAAAATATCAAGATTATAATCAATCGATAAAGTTAAACCTAGGTGGTGGGGTGATTTTATTTAACTATTCCGACTAGATTTATTAGAGCATTATGAGTGGTAGATATATAATAATGATATTCTTTACTTTTCTATCTTTTGCATTGATTTGTAGATACCTTAGACCACCTCCATCGGCACTTCTTAACTGAGATTCCAAACCAAAAAGCAGAAAAAGAAAAATGAAAAAGAAAAAAAAAACACCGAACCGATGCTCAAAACAGGACTTTCAGGATTGGTAAGGACCTTTATGTGTCACAACCCTTGACATAATAAACCATGGACATAGTAGACATTCCTTCAAAAATTTTTTTAAGAACCTGTAACAAGTTCTACCATTGGACCATAAAAAAAATAATTACACAAAGAAGGGTTCTAAACTTTTAAAATCACACAATTAACTATTAAATTAGCCATCAGAACTCCTAATGGGTTCTTACCATTGGAGTTGCTCTTACATTTGTTATTCAATGGTAATTATTACCCAGATGTTGGTGATTAGGAGCATTTATATTTGTATGACTCACTAACCAATCATTTATGTGGGGTTATGATTTGTATGATCTCACTTTTGTTTTTATACCAAAATAAGTAATACACCATTATATGCTGTAAATTTCTTTTATAATTTTAAAATTATCAAGAAATAATAAGATAATAAAAATTCCTATAAATATTGTTTATTTGTTGATAATTATTGTATAACTTAATTTACTTTTAGTATTTGATTGTTAAAATACTATTTTTTTTGCTTTTCTTTTGCTTTTGTTTTTTTTTGTTTTTGCTTTTATTTATCTTATTATTTAACCGAATTTGTTTGAATTCTGTAGACGAGGTCAACGACACCTTCAAATATCTGGTAGATCCAAATCAGAACAACAACCCATTTGCACATAGAGAGGGGTAAGGACAAAATTTTAAATCCATTTTCTTTAATTTACGACGTAATATAGAGAATTAGGATAAAACATGCGCTTTACACATGATGAATATATGTAATTAAAATATAAAATTTTAGTATTGACAAATTTAAAATTTAGATATGATTGTTTTTATATGTGTTCTCAATTATTCGTATTATAATAATTATGAAAAAGACATTATACTACTAAATTTGTATCCAAATAATATATAACTAAATATGTTTCCACAAAATCTAAAGCCACTATATTCCACCTTTGTAACAATTTAATTATTAATCTTTATATAAACTATCGATAATGACAATAATTAATGAATATTTCTGAATATATATATATATATATAACTAAATCTTTTACATGCTAATTACTACAAAGTATTTTTATTTAATATAAAAATATGTTACTCTATTTGTATTTTCACAAATATTAAATTTCATTCATTTAAGATACAATAAAATGTAACAAGAATATTGTATAAAATAAATGCATAGTAAATTGACATCAAATAAGTTACATCTTCTCTATTTAAAAGAGAAGTACCAAATTTATCTACTATTTAGAAGTTATGTTGTCCCATGTCATTATTTATTTAATATGACATATCTGATTGTTACTTAACCAATCAAATATGTATTATTTTCAAAATATCTTAATACTTAATAAGGATATTTCAATTTAAATATAACAAAATTTGTTAAAAATAATCTAGCAAATATCTTAACGAAAAGTTTAAAAATATTTAATGTAAAATAAGTGTTTCTTTATTTGGTTATTAAATATAATTATAAATTAAATTTAATTAAAAATAAAATATATATTATATATTTAAAAACTTTAGTTATATATTTATAAAATAAAAATATACCGTCACGGATGTGCGGGTCAAACTCTAGTATATATTATGAGAAGAACAAATGTATTCTCAATCAATGACTTGCACATTTCGTTCTTTCTATTATAAGAAGAAGAAATATATTCTCAAAAATATATATTTTGATACTTCTAATATAAGCACATAATAAATATATATTGTCTCAGTAAAAGATATTATACTAATTAATCATAGAAGATTTGATATTTGAATTCTTCCACGTTTAAATATATTTATAAGTAATAGGTAAAAATGATACAACAAATATAATTATATATATTAAGAACTAAATTTTTAATAAAGTAAAATTTTAATATATTAATACTGATAACTAAATATTTAATTATATAAATGCTATCAAATTAAAAATTCTAAGACTATAAAATTTAAATTATTATGTTTTAAATTGAACATTGATTGTTTTGGGAACATTGAGTATTGATAATTGATATTTCTTTATCACATTACTAATTTCGTTTGAAAATTTAATTTTATTATTTATTTTAATATTAATAAAACAATATTGGATGATAATGTTGTATTTTAAACTATTAATGGCGGCAGTAGAAGACGAAAGAGAATTCCGACAAAGTTTGATAAATTTGGCGATCACTATTAAGAGGTAGAGACGTCGTGTCAGAATTTTCTTTCTCGTGAAGTAATATAGCGATGTGTGTCATCACGCATAAAACAAGTGTGATGAGGGACAGTTTAACCGACAGTTATACTAGGTCGATGTAGTAGACTAAAGTACCTTGTAAACGGATTAAGATTTTGTTTATTTTAAACTTCTCTTTGTAATAGTTTATTGGATCTTTACATTAATGAAAAATTAGAGTTCGACCCGAACGTTCGTGTAGATAGATTTTTCATTTTATAAATGTATATATCTGATATTATCATAAACATTTTAATCATATGATTTAAATTTTAGTATTATATATTGTGTAGCTTTATAATCTTATTATTTTGGATTTTTATCCAACATTATAAATATATAATGATTTGGTTTATACTTTTAATTTGTTATTCAACATTATGATTTGATTTATGCATTTTATACATACTAATATATTTCTGAGTACATCAGAATAAATTCAGAGTCTGAAATAAAAAAAGAAAATAATTTTTAAAATATGTTTTTTTTTAAACTCTATAATTTCCATATGTTACATTTTTAAAATTTTATTTAACTACACAACAGAAATAATATTCACTTATGATAATTTATATTTCCATGTTGTGTTCAAAAATTAACTTTAACATCTACTATTTAAGTATATTGCGAGATTTTATAATATAAATATTTTAGCTATATTATTTAGGTAAATTTTATAAATAATAGCATCTATGGTATTATGATGACAAAAAAAAAGCTTCTGTTATATTATTTAGTGAATTTTATAAATAAAGATCTTTTTGGATGCTAGGCTATTGAATTCTATGATTATTTATTATTAAATTAAGACTTCAGAATATTATACTAATTTCATTTTTACAATAGTATTTTTTTCGTGTTCCACTTAAAAATTACATTTTAGCATTTATGAATTTATCTTGTATAAGATTTTTGGAATATTTTTTCTTTGAGCTTAGAATATTTATTTTCAAAATTGTATATTTGGTCAAGAAAGTTTTCAAAAATACATAAACACTTTTGAGTTTGATAGATTATATAACTTTGATTTTTTTTTGTAACTAAATTAATACATTATTCTATTAAAAATATTTTTAATTTTTTTGTAATATTTTTAGAATAGTTTGAACTGACTATGTAGTAATTAAAAATCATTAAATTTGTAGTTAAAATATCTTTTGAATTATTAAAATTTTCTGATATACTATTTGTAAATAACACATTATGTAAAATTTAGTTAGATACTATTATATTTTGTATAAAATCATTTTAGATAATATTTATAAGTTTCAAATTAAATAAAAACCAATATATAATTGTAGATATAAAAGTTTAACATATTCTAACATTTTTGTATTATACATAGTTTATGAATTTTAACATTTTAACTCTGAATGATAGTTTCTTTATTTATTTAATTGAAAGATATTTTAATACTGATTTTCTATTTTGTTTTTAAATTCTTATAGTACTTGTATTTTAATAATATTATATAAATAAATTACGAAATTAATTATTGTATCATTCTATAAGAAATGAAATATTTTGAGTAAATTTCGTTAGAATTTTTCTCAACTGATATTTTATAACTAAAAAAAATTAAATCTATTTTCTCAACTTATTTAGTTATGTATTTAATTAATTAATGTAAATATTTAAATAATCAGCTGATCTAACTAAGACTTGTATATAGTACATATAAAAGTATGATTTTAAATAAGAATTCGGTAAATAAATACCTCAACTTGGCACGAGTTACCAAAACAAACATGAATTTTTGGGTTGATCCGAAAAACACAAAACTTTCTTTGACTTTACAATTAATTAACAATATTTTCGTTGACTTGCCAATTTATCACGTCGTCAGTAAATTTAACAGAAAATTTGACAAAGTTAAATGTTGGAGTTAAGTAAAACGACGTCGTTTTACATGATTTGGAAATAAAAACAGGTAAACCCATGGATTCGAAAATGGGTTGGTCGGGAAAAATGGCAAGGTACTATACCAATGTGCTAGTGACACTTTAAATGTAGTTACAAACACATTTAATTTTATTTGGTACTAGTTGAATAAAAAAAATTCCCTAAAACTTAAAAAGTTCTTTAAATTTCAAAAAATTGAAAATATAAAGAATTTTTTTATAAAATTAATTTTGAAATTAGAATTATTATTTTTTCTTTAAAAATATCAAACATCTTCCAAAAGTCACAAGATTTTCTTCAATTGCTAAAAATTGAAATTAATTATACACACATAAAAAGATACCCAAATATTAAAATTAAATTAAAATGCTTGAAAGAAATATTTTTAAAAATTTATTTTCTTTAAAAAAATCAAAAATCTTCAAAAAATTTCATTGTTTTAAAAAGAATTGCTATTCTACACACATAAAAGATACCCACATATTAAAATTAAATTAAAATGCTTAATAAACATATTTTAAATTTTTTTTTGAATTTTTCTTTTTTAGCAAAAATATATATTTATAATTTAATTTTAATATTACTTTTTCTTGAAATTTATATTTTTGGAATTTTAAAAATCTTTTTAAGTTTTTAGAGATTTGTTTAAATATTCAATGAGTACCAAGTAATATTAAATGTGTTAGTAATTACATTGAAAGTGTCACTAACACAGTGGTAAAGTACCTTACGATTTGTTCTGGCAAACCCGAGTTCGCATCCATGGGTTTATTTGTTTTTATTTTCAAATCATATAAATGACGTCGTTTTAACGTTGTCTTAACTATGACTTTACTGTGTGTTAATATGGTTAGTCAAGGTTAAATTGCTTAATAAACTAAAAAATTAACAAAAGTAAAGGTTTTTTTTTGAGAGGCTCAAATACAAGATTTATTTGTCAATTCGTGTAAAGTTATCTAGAAAAGAAAAACTGAAAAAGGAAAAACAAAAACTAAAACTAACAGCTATGAAGTCAGAAATAGCCTCGAACGTTCTCTCTCCCTCTCTCAAGGTACACACACTATTTTCCTTTTTCTATAAGGATTCTGTTTGTCACGATGTCATGTCTCCTCTTTACTCTCGTTCGAATCTCCTCTGTCTAGGGAATATCTTGTCTTGTTATTTTCATGTAAGTTTCCTCTTAATTTTGATCTAATCTAATAATCGGTAGATTTGGATCCTTCCCAATTGCTAAAGAACACTGATCTATTTATTTATCTTTTTTCAATTCTGATCGCCAGATCTCTAAATCAGTGATAAAGTTTAGGGTTTTGGTTTTTAGGGTTTGTCCAGTATCGTGATTTATAGCTTTACAATTGAATCGAATAGGGTTTTCTACAACATTGATTTTAATTTATTTGCAGTAAGAGATCCAATAGATGGAGAAAGGAGAATCAACAAGCACCTCCAACGGATCAACCGAACCAGATCACGACTTTGAATGCAACATCTGCTTCGAGTTAGCACAAGACCCAATCGTCACTCTCTGCGGCCACCTCTTCTGCTGGCCTTGCCTATACCGTTGGCTCCACCACCACTCTCACTCTCAAGAATGCCCTGTTTGCAAAGCTCTCGTCCAAGACGACAAGCTCGTCCCTCTCTACGGTCGTGGCAAGAACCAGACTGACCCTAGAACCAAACGTTACCCCGGGATGCGGATTCCCAACAGACCTGCTGGTCAGAGACCCGAGACTGCCTCTCCTCCTCCTCAGACTCAGAATGACGGAGCTAGTAACTTTTTTAACTACGGGATTGGTTTGATGGGTGGGTTTATGCCGATGGCGACTACGAGGATTGGGAATTTTAGTTTTGGGTTTGGTGGGTTGTTGCCTTCTTTGTTTAACTTTCAGTTCCATGGGTTTTCCGACGCGACGCTTTATGGGACGGGTTACCCTTTTGGTGGTTACCATGGTTTTGGTGGGCTTTCTGGTCATGTGCAGGATGGTAGGAATGAAGCGATGGGTCGTGGAGGGCACTCAAGCGATGCGGTTCTGAAGCATCTCTTCCTTGTCGTTGGAATTTGCGTTTTATTGTTCCTTTTATGGTGAAAACAAGAAAGATTCCGTTTGGTTTATTCATTCCAGGTATGATAGTTGCAAACGATGCATGTATATATACGGTAATAGGCTGAGTTATGTGTCTGCTTTTCCTACGTTTTGTTTTTGTTATTTGAGGAAGAAACTTGGATCTTCTATTCACGAGTCTTTTTTTATTTATCTATCTGCTTTTGTGTTGTCTCTACATCTTATGAGAACTAGCTGTTGTGGAATAAATGTTGCATATGATGGACATAAGTTTGGATGTATTCTTGTTTACAGACAGATTTTGAGAAGCCTTTAGCATCTGTTTTCTGCTTTAGTACATCGCTACCTCTTCTTACAAGCCTTAAAACTAGGCTCTTTAGAAAAAGTCATGAATCTTTTATTAATACGAATCCTTATCATTCACTAGTACACTGATATGGGATGTAGTTGATTAACTCTTTTCTGTCTGTCTCATGCTCTTTCTTCCTAACGTAAGTAGCTGTAGTAGATGAAGGGTATGATGTGCTCATGTAATCTGATTTCAAAGGTTCCAGAAATATTCTGTAACTATCTACATAACAATTAGGATAGTGGAAATTTGCTTTACTGCTTTTTCCATCTGATTGTGCAGACAAGAACACAGTGATCTGTTTATGGCTAGTTTTGAGACCTAGTGTTATAAATCTATAAGGGTAAAGATGTTTGAAGTATTGTATTAGAATCCAGCATAAGAATGATGTTACAAGATACGATCATTTGCTATCTCTTGCCTAAGCTATCATAGAAATAATGTATTCAAGATTGAAATCTAAGTTTCTAGATTCTAGTCTTGTATGGTTGGGATCTTGGTCGATTTCCAGTTCTTGATCTTGGTAGGTTGATTCAGGTTGATCTGGGGTTACCAATACTAGTTGTGAATATGAACATAACCATTGTATCAGCCACCGCTTTGATTAGTTAGTCAACATTATGTCTCATCTACAATTATTAGCAACGAGACAGAACCGATTAGTTACTGTCATGAACCGGAAAAGAGGGAAGAAACCAAACCCTTGTGTCATCCTCTTATTTCGTTTTTGGCGTCTTAAAACAAAACAAAAATCAAATGTCAATGATACATATATATAGAGACTAAATATTATAACAAGTTGTTATCCATTCAAATTATGGAACGAGACTAAAATATTCAACCAGCTCCACGAAGACCATTTCCCACTTGTCTTCCCTCTTGACTTCCAACAAACAGTTGACTTTTTCCACACGTTTCCTTTAAATCCCATTACAACCCACGTACAACGAATCTTACAGAATCACAACGATGATCTTCTTCTTCTACTTCATCCTTCTCCAATGCATCTCCTTAGCAACCGCGCAACAGCCTTATGTCGGCTTATCATCCTCCAACTGTTCTGTCATAGACAACTCAACCTCTGTTCTCGGCTACTCATGTAACGGCCTCAACAGAACCTGCCTCACTTACGTCATTATCCGGTCAACTCCATCTTACTCCACCGTCTCCTCCATCTCTTCCCTCTTCTCCGTCAACGCCTCACTCCTCTCCTCCCTCAACAACGCAGCAACAACCTTCCCTACAGATCAACAAGTCATCATCCCTATAACTTGTTCTTGCTCCGGCAATTCCTATTCCCAATCCAATCTCAATTACACAATCCGACAAGGAGATTCATACTTCGGCATAGCCAACGACACTCTCCAGGGGCTTTCAACATGTCAAGCTTTGGAGAGACAGAACAATGCTTCGTCTCAATCTTTGTTTCCTGGTATGAGGATCCTTGTTCCTATCCGTTGCGCGTGTCCCACGGCTAAACAAGTTGATGAAGATGGGGTTAACTATCTTGTCAGCTACACCGTGGTGTTTGGAGACACGGTGGATATCATCAGCCAGAGATTCGGCGTCGAGACGAGTAAGACTTTGGAAGCTAATCAAATGTCTTTTGACGAACCTGGAGTTTTCCCTTTCACCACAGTCCTGGTTCCATTACAGAACCCTCCTTCAAATCTTACGACTCCTCCTCCTCCTCCTCCACCTCCGTCTCCATCGGTTTCTCCTCCGCCAGATGGGAAGAAACCGAAGAGAACATGGGTTTATGTTCTTGTCGGAATACTAGGAGGAGCTTTGGTTCTGAGTGTGTTAGGTGCAGCCATGTTCTGTCTTGTCAAGAAAGAATCAAGAAAGAAAGAAGAACATAGCTTCACGGCCAAGAAAACATCAATCTCCTATCAAGAATCTGACTTAGATCCGCTCGATGGTTTATCAGGTATGGTTGTTGACACATTAAAGGTTTACAAGTTCCACGAGCTGCAGTCCGCAACGAGCGACTTCACATCTACCAGCTCGGTCGGAGAATCATCAGGGTACATAGGTAAAATCAACGGCGATGGTGCAATGATCAAGAAGATGGAAGGAAACGCTTCGGAGGAGATCAACTTATTGTCGAAACTAAACCATTTCAACATCATCCGTCTCTCTGGTTTCTGTTTCCATGAAGGAGACTGGTACTTAGTCTATGAACACGCTTCTAATGGAGCCCTAAGTGATTGGATCTACGCGAAGTCTCTCTTGAGTTTGACTCAGAGGTTGCAAATCGCTTTGGATATAGCAACAGGGCTTAACTATCTACACAACTTCGCAGACCCTCCTTACGTTCACAGGGATTTAACGAGTGGAAACATCTTTCTTGACTTCGAGTTTCGAGGAAAAATTGGTAACTTAGGTTTAGCTAGGTCAACGGAAAAGGATGGAGATTACGTGTTGACCAAGCATGTGGAAGGGACTAGAGGGTATTTAGCTCCTGAGTATTTGGAACATGGGTTGGTTTCGACTAAGCTTGATGTTTATGCTTTTGGTGTTGTGTTTTTGGATATTGTTACTGGTAAAGAAGCTTCTGAGTTGAAGAAACAGATTGATGAAGGTAATGTTTTGGAGGAGCTTTTGGTTAGTGGAAGCTTCTTGCCTGAAGGGTTAGTGAGTTTTGTGGTGAGATTGGTGATGGATTGTTTAAAGAGGGATCATTTGAATCGTCCATCGATGGATGAGATTGTTTTGTCTTTGTCCAAGATATTGACTGCTTCGAAAAGCTGGGAATCGACTTACTAAATTTAAGGCCCAATGTATTTTAGCCTTTTAGGCTGCATGTTAACCAAAAGGACTTTCTTTTTGTTGGTTTTTAGAAACTCATGTTCTTGTGTTGGTTTTAAGTACGGCTGGCAAAAAACCCGGATCCAAAGAACCGAACGGAACCGAATCCGAAAAATGAGTATCGAACCCGAATTAAAATTGATTTAATATCCGAATGAGTTAAAAAATTTGGTATTTAAAGAACCGAAACCGAACCCGATCCGAACCGAAGTATTTTGGGTACCCAAATATATCTGAAAGAGATTTATACACCTATATATATTAATTATTTTTTAGATTTAATGTATATAAAAAGATTCAATATATATAAAATATTTTGAAGTTGTTCAAAATACTTGTAAATATATGTAAATAGTCAAACATACATGTCTAAAATTGCTAAAGTACACTTAAAACATCAAAAATACTTTAAAAATTATTGATTCACAATCCAAATATTCAAATCAAACTAATTTATATGTTAATTTTAGGTATTCTGACTTAAGTTATTCAATTATTTGTAATATATTATTTTGTTTATAGATTTTTAGAAACTTAAAGTATATAATCAATTTAAAATTTTAAAAATAATTTAAATGGGTTATCCGAATCTAAACCGAACTCGCAAAGATCCGAACCGAATTTGAATCAAAATTTAGAAATATCCGAATGGGGCTAAAATTTGTGAACCTGAGAACCCGAACCCGAATAGATCTGAACCGAAGCCGAATGGAAACCCGAACACCCACCCCTAGTCTTAAGTATGAATCTAGCTACACTTGGGTTAATGAGTTTTGTAAATTGAAGAATTTTAATAATCTTAGAAAAGGCTGGAAATTTAAAAATCATTACAATAAAACTCGCTAGTAAAAATGCAATAAAATGATTAAAATAATTCTATTGTGATGTTTTGTTTACTAAAATTGTAATGGTTTGAGTGTTGATTTTCAAAAGATGAATACTTTAAAATAGTTTGACAACCAGATTTTGATCATCACTTTCAAAGCACAGAATAAACTTTTAGTGAAAATATTATATAACAGTTTGTTCTCTTTATTTAAAGTATGTTTGAATATAAAATCCATAATCTGAAATCCACCGAAGCCAAACTACAAAAACCTTATCTATATCCGGTCTAAAAATATATATATACCATAAAAGATCTGGTAGGGTGCTAGTGGTACAAAATATTTCAAACCCCAAAGTATTATTAGCCAACCTAAACCGATAACCCGAAAAACGTGTAAAATTTTGAAAAACCAATTTGAATGTTCAAATTAATTACAAATATAAATATTTTCAAATATAAATATCTAATTAAAATATTTAATTCTGTATATATTTTTGGGTGATGTTGAGAAATATATATTTATTTACAAAGAGTCAAGATTTAATTCAAAATTTTATTTTCCCAAAATATAAATTATATATATATATATATATATTTTTTGTCAATCTTAAATTATATATATATATATACACTTTTATAAGGAAAATTTTGTTTTTAAAGTATATTAATTAAATTAAAATTTGTATAAATATAATTTTATGAAAATAAGATAATTCATTTATATAACCCACCTCATATAAATTTTAATTATATTTAAAAAAAATCAAGGTATAGTATGAATCTATTTTTTTATTGTATATATCTTTATGAAATAATCCACAAGAAACAATAATTGTAAATCATAATATGCAGTTCAGTATACCATATAATCAAATTATATTAATGTCAAATAAATATAGTATTATATTTTACATTAAATTATAGAGATATTGCATTCTCTACACACCACTTATACTATAATTAGGCAAATACTCTAAGTCACTGTACTGAACTGTTGAACAAAAAATAATGACTCAGTTACCCCTATATTCTTTTTTTTTCTTCTCCTCTCTTTCTCTCCTTTTTTTTTCCGTCCGCCGATCTCTTCACATTCTCTCTCCTGATTCTCCACTCCCAGCCGCAGATCCACCTCCATTCGAATCTCTATTTCCCCGGAGATCTCAATCTTACAGAGATTCTTTATGCCTCTGAGATTGCTGTTTTGGTATAGATTTTTTGAGATTCACTCCCATATCGGACTCTCACGAACAACCTGAGCATAATCCGCCTATTAAGTGGCATCATCATCCTTCTGTTTCTTCTATGAAGCCTCTGTTAATTGCTCGCGGTGAGTATCACCGTTTTGACGCGGCAGAGACGCACGGAGGCAGAGAGTTTGATCGGGGTTCTGAGAAAATTGTTATTAGATCTTCCGTAAGGCTATTAGTCAATTTTGAAATTCTTGTTTACGATTCTTGTGTTTTCAATTTTGAGGATTGAGTAGATAACAATGATGATATTTTGATCGTAGTGAAGAGATTTATTGTGTTAGAATCTGATTTCCTGATGTGTGTAATCGCGTTTGACTTTTTTAATTGGGAGATTGCAAGTTAATATGTATAGGGCTAAAAGTGTCAGTTTATCTTCTTCTCAATTACTTTTCGGACCACATTTTATAGTTATAGGTAGATCTCTAATATCCCAATTTTTTTTTTGTGTTTTGAGCCAATTGACTCTAAATTATATCATGATATTTTAATTTAGATATGTATATTACATACAATTATTTCTGATTTTAAATATCTTATTTTAGTATTTTGTTTTAATAAGTTGAAATATGTTGTAAGTTACATAAATATATGTTATTCTGTAAATATAATCATTTAGTTTATAATTTACAAAAAAATAGATTAAGTTATTGTATAATAATTATTTAGTGTAATTGGTAATAACAAATATGAGATATTTATATATAAATATTTTAGAAGGTTATTTCGGATTCTTTAAATCAAAATAAGCTAATATTCATTTGTAATTGGATTTAATATTATTTACGAATTTTATTATTAAAATAATATTGAAGAAATAAATATTTATATTTTAAATAAAAAGATATTGTTAAAATATAATCTGAAAAAAGTAATTAAGAATATCTTTTTGATATCTTATTTTGAATATATTTAAATAGTATGTTAAGATAATGTGGTTATTTAATAATAATAAGTTTGTTATATGTAAAATAATGTAAAATTAAATAAATGTAATGGTCCAACCTAGTACTTACAAGTAAATAAAAAATGCTTCTGTTTTAATAGTATTGACATGAATATCTTTTTGATATCTTATTTTGAATATATTTAAATAGTATGATATAAAAAATGTTTATTTAATAATAATAAGTTTGTTATGTGTAAAATAACATAAAATTAAATAAATGTAATGGTCCAACATAGACTACTTACAAGTAGATAAATATTGTTTTTGTATTAATAGTATTGACTAGATTTTGATCCGCGCAACCGCGCGGATGTTTGCTTTTACTTTTATATACATAAATATTTGTTTTAGAGCATAAGTGGTATATATTTTTAACGTTAATCATATACTTAAATGTTTATATAATTATTTTAAATACAATAATTTAATAATTTACATGTTATATTAATCAATTATTTAAATGTCACTTTTATATATTTATCTTATTGTATTTGCATTTAGTTATTAGGAAATTTAATATATTCATGAGAAAACATATTTGAAAATTATTTTGTATTTAATTTAGGGGGAATTGCCAAAACCAACCCAAATATTCATTTTAACCCTAAAGGTGTACCTCATATTCAATCAATTGCAAACCCAACATAAATGGGTGTTAAAACTACTATTTAACCCTTATGAACAAACAAAAAACGCTGAATATATTTTACAATTCTGTCATTCGAAGGTCTACACTTTAAGAAAGAAGTCTACAACTAGGTAGACTTACATTAACGTCTACTGTGTAGACTAATGTAGATTTATTATTTAGTCTACATCTTAATTTAATCAAATAATTTAATTTTAAAAATGTAGAAAAAATGTTTTTGGTAAATTTTTTTAATAAATCATCAATTTAAAGGTTAGTATGAGGTATATAAATTAAATTTTCATATAATTGAACAATTTAAAAGAATGTATATTGATTTGGAAACTATGTGGTAGACAATGTTAATGGTTTAGCAACCAAAAGTTCTAATATGTTATGTCTTTTAGAGTTAGATTCTTAGGGTTAGATTCTAGATTTAGAATTATTTTGTTTAAATGATTCAAAATTGCATATTTAATGTTGAGTAGCTTATATTTTGTATATATGATATTTGGTACAATGACTAAGATTTTTTTTATAATCAATCAAACGTTTAAGGTTTGAGATTTGGGGTTTAGGGTTTGAGATTTCTAGTTTAGGGTATAGTAGACTTACAGTTAAGTCTACTTATATGTAGAATTGAAAATGAATTTTGGAGCCTATTTTTCCATATTGGCGCCAATATTTAGGGTATAGTAGACTTACAGTAAAGTCTACTTATATGTAGAATTGTGTTTCAGTCTACATTAATTGGTGTTTATCAAAAAAAAATAGTTTAAAACTAAAATTATTTCAGTCAAAAACGACAAATGACGAAAATGACCTACTCTAAATATCATAGCCCTAAAATTTCACTCTCATCTCTCACGTTCTCTCCTCTTGGCGGCCGATCTTCTCATATCTCTCGTTCTTCGACGAGCTCTCTCTCCGACCAGCTCTCTCCGGCGAGCTATCCCTCCGGCGAGCTATTCAGCCGGCGAGCTATTCAACGATTTCGTCTAACTGCTGCAAGTCCACGACCAGACTCGGAACAAAGGCTGTTGTTTCTGATCAGAAGAATTATCCCAGAATCGGAGCTAAAACCACCGGACCTATATCCCCGTCTCACCTCCTGACGGGTCTGAGAAAACGAGTAGCGCTACAGAACAGCAAATACAAACAGAAAAAGGGAGGAAAAGTATTGACAAGTAAGGGTAAAACATTCAACAAAATCTCAAATTTTTATTAACTAATGATCTTGATAATAACTATGATGATGATGATGACAAGTTTGGGGGGATAATAAGATCAGTAGGATTGTGCAACATAGATTGCTTCAAGCCTACAGCAACAGCTAAATGAATTGGGTAGAAGAGACATGAACATACACATGCATCCAAAAACATGTAATTTTAATTAGTTTGGTCTTTGGTTTATTCTCTTTGTACACTTGCAACCCCTTATGTTTTGGAATTAAACAAGTCACATGTGAATGATTGATGGATCCACTTGATTCAAATAGCTTGATTTTGTTATTGAATAGAATATGATAAGACCAAATTAGGTAATCTTCATTACATTTGATGTG